TTTGTCTTGTTAGTCTGAAAATTTGACTCAAATTAAGTCAAAAATTTCTGCCAATGAAGTAAGAAAATTTTACTTGGTAAGATTCTTGAATTACTTGATTTGACTCAGTTTTTTCTTATTTCAAGAATCTTACCAATTAAAATTTTCTTATTCCATTGGCAGATATTTTGACTTAATTTGGGTCAAATTTTCAGACTAACAAGACAAATAATCTGACACATTCTGAAAACAAGATGATTATTCTTACACAGTCAGTTCTTGTTTAGTAAATCAGTCTCAAAACAAGATCAAAAAGACTTTTTGGCTGGATATAAGATTTTAAAACTTGGTTAGGTCGACATTTTTGCAGTGCATTCATGTTTGTTATTCTGGGATCAGCCCCGCTGACCATCTCTAAAAATCTGCAGTCATTTTTTATTTAATGTAATTTTTTTATTCCCAAAGCCTCTCGGCTTTCCTCTGGCCGGAGAGACAGATCTTTCTGGTTTTAATTAGGCTCTCAGGGATGTCTAAGGGTTCTCTTTTTGCATGCTCTTTATACCCAGAACACCGCTGTCTCCAGTGCTGCTAAGATTACAAGCCTCTGCTTTTATTGAGCCTTTTTTGGACTGTTTGGTTTGGTTGCGTTTTCACCATGAGGGTGATAAATTGTTAACGGTGCCGTTCTTAATTAAGCTGTAAACAATTAAAACTATTATCAGACAGCAATCAAATATAAAACAAGCAAGTTTGACAAGAGTAAAAAAAATAAATAAACTGAGCAAATTGCCAAAAGTGACATTTTCTTACATAAAAGTAGAACTCCTTTGGATTTTGCTGCTGCCTCTTTCTTACAAGCTTTCCCTCCGGCTGACATCACATTTTCTGCTTATGTCATTTTTTATTTTGTCCCCCCAGTCTAGAACACTGTTTTAAAATGGTTGTCCAAAAACAAGTTCTCTAAAATCGCAAAGTGCTTCGTAAGCTTTTTTCCTCCTCTATTTTTCTACACTGAAACGGGGTATTCTGTATTTTATAGTTCAATTCTATATCACAAGTAAAATGCTACCTTCAGTTGTTATGAAAATGCTGTATTTATCAAAAATAAGTTTGAATTAGCAACATAGCCTAGCGTCTAAATGCCTTAMAGCTGGCSTCTGTCTTTTTAAGAACCTCCTACYGTTTCTGACACTCCCACTTCWTCATGTCTTCACAATGTTTCGGGGAGAGGGGGGTGCTCTGTGGGGCCGGAGCTCGGCTGCAGCTGGAGGAGCTTTGWGTAAATAGGYGGAGCTTTGTACCAAAATAGGTTTAGTTAGTGTTGCATGGCTACCACAGGAGATTCAGGGATTTCTCAAAAATACACAAATGAGTCAAAGCAACACTCTGGGTATGTTTTTGATGAGGGACATTATAASARGATGTAAAGCTCAGGAAAGTAACTTTTGGTTTTGACAAAACATTTCGTTGGTCATTTAAAGGTAATTTCACTGGTTTGTGACCACAAAATTGCAAAAAAACATACAAAAACCTCCACTTGGAAWCATACTGAACAACATTCTTACACAAAGCCCTGGTAATATTTACATCAAAAACTAAAATGAAATAGGCTCTGAAGATGGTTGCAGTCATTAGCGACAGCTCTGATGCAGTTTCGAAACATGTTCACAAGTCCTGGTGTTTTCAATTTGTCACCAATGGCAATAACAGAATAACTACGATGATGATTATTATGCTTTTCAACGGTGGTAGAGTATTTTACAACAAATGAGAAAAGTAGTGCTCTTTTTTTCACTTCCTGTTCTCACAGTGGGTGGTATGTAACGGTGTTAAAGCTCAAACTGTGTACGTTTTGGTCTGGTGAGGTTAAACGGCCWGTTTCAGTTCAAAAAGACAGTTTAGAATAAAGAGACACAAAACCTCTTTTTGTGTTAGTTTCCTCTCCCACCCTCCTCCTTTTGCTGCTTCTGTTTGAGCTTCCTGCCCATTTATAAACTCTCCCCTAGAATTAAACATAAAACATCTCTGACACACAATAAAACAACTTTTCCTTTCTTTTTCTTTTTCTTTTTAGAAGACTWACTCTTTACTCAATCCAAGCTGAGAGACATGCTGCTACCAGATTTTAGACCACACCTTTTAGGTTCCAGACAGAGGCAACAGCAACGGTCCATGTATTAGTCCCCTGAGGAAGTAATCTGACCACAAGCACAAGGACTACATTTTGAGATGTTTACAGGAGACTATTTTCAAACTAGAAGCTGGGTTTTGGCTGGCCAGTGGGATTTTGGGGTAGAAAGTGATGTGAAACTGAGAAGGCTAATTTGAGGGTAGCGTGAGTACGAGGTCAAGGTGAACCGCAGAGTTGGGCTCGGTCTGAGTTCTGGTCACAGCTGGAACGTCTGCCGGCCAAAAGTGACAAAAAGTGCTTCCAGGAAGAGGTGGACTTTTTCTGCAGAACGAATGTGGAAGGACCAGCAGTGGCCCAGAGGATTGAGTGTTAGATGAGTGTTTTTAAAATGTACTTTTGTCTGAGGCTGTCAAAAAACATGGATGAATTTGCTCAGTCTTTGTGGCGCAGACACAACAYGGTGTCAGGAACTCCCCTCAGGGATTTGAGCTCAAACTGATCACATTGTGCAGCTGCTTCAGTCTCCTGTTCTGGGTCCGATCTGGTGACTGAGGAAGACTCGCCCGACTTGGCAACACGTTTACAATCTCTTACTGTCCAGTTTTGGTTAGCTGACAGGAGTGGCATCCGGTGTGGTCTTCTGCTGCTGCAGCCCATCTGCTTCAAAGCTGTGTTGTGCATTTAAAGATGGTATTCTACAGAACGTGGTTGGAACAAGTGCTTTTCTTGGACCATTCTCTGTAGACCCCAGAAATGGTTGTGTGTGAAAATCCCAGCRGCTCAGCAGTTTCTGAAACACTCCCATCTGGCACTGACAACCATGCCACRTTTGAAATCACATCAATCTTTTTGTTGTCCCCCACTTTTTATGACCATGAGTTTTTTCTTTTTTTTTTAGGATTAATTAAACAACTGCTGCATTGTGTTTAACCACAGCTCCTTCCTTTTCAACCTGACTTTTAAAAGCTGCTCCACAGATGGCAACACACACAGACCTGTGCCTTATAAATCAGCAAACAAATCCACAATACCTCTTCGACTTGGTTTTATCCTGGATGCCTATAAGCGAGTCGGTGCTCTTTTCAACTTCCTAAAAAAGGTGGAAGAAAATTTCTCACAATGCTCTGTTTTATGAAGTGAGCTGGATCGACCCGCWGCACATCCACCACCTGTAAATGGAGATTTACCCTAAAAGCATAGTTGAACACTTTTTCTCTTTTCGTGTTTTCCACTTCACTCTGGTGCCGAGTTGGAACTGGCACGAGTTCCTTGCTGAGCGGAAATGTGTCCCTGTCAGCATCACAGAACGCAGACATGTGTTTCTAAAACACATGTCCAAACATATGATAGTCAAAGGCATGGTGATGTAAGGACACGCTTAACATAGACTCTTTTATGTTTTATATCAGCTACAGCTAATTGATGTCAGCCAACACAAAAAKAGCTTGAATTGGTCTGATTTGGCGTAATGTTGTTTTTTAGGGTTTGACTAAAATGGCTTAAATGTAAGATGATCCTAATCTTATGCTCTGACATGAATTGCAGCATTCCTTCACAGAATCCTAGACCTGGTTCAGGAGAACTGCAGTCTTGCATGTAATGGCTTTAGCAAAGGAAGCTGAAAATTTAAGTTTTGCTCCATTTGAGCTGATTGATATGGTTGGACAGATGRAGAATCCTCTGTTAAAATGGGAGCGTGCATGCAGAGACATTCTCAGCTGTTTCTGTGGGGGCGAAAATACCCGACCTGCTCCTCACGATGGAACAGAACCATCTGCACTGACAGGCTTGTTCCACTGTGGGAGACTGGGAGCCAGTCAGAGGTCTGTGGTCTGGTACAGTTGGACTGAGTCAGTGTATGTGTGTGCGCGTTTGTGTGTGCATGTGTGTGTTTTCTAGATCTACGGGCATCATCATTTCATACCTGATTAAAAAAGTGACACGTAAATCTTTTTATTTCATTTAACTTTCTCAGTTGTCTAAAACATTGATTATTACTTTAATTCTCTTTCATTTTATCTTTAGCTCATATTTGCTTCGACATTTGAAAGGCACTAGCTTAAAAAAGTCAGTTGACTCAGTAATTCCATATATTTTTGGTTATTTAAAAAAATTATATATATAAATATAAAAATGTGTGTTTCAAATCAAAGCTGAATTTGCTTTTCACTCTTTTCAGGTTTCTGGCAGCTCCAGTAAACACACCCACATAAAACTTAAAAGACGTTACGTTAATAAAGTCAGACAGTTTGAAAAGAGAAAAGCTGATATTCAGGAAGAGGTTGCGAAAGTAAGCATGCAAAAAAAACCTGTTTTCTTAAAAAGCGTGGTTGTGTGGAGTAGGTTTGAGTAGTCAGTATCTTACCTGCTGTGCCTCAGTTTGGCTTAAAGTTTAAGGTTTAGTTAAAAACAAAGGCAAGGAGGAAAACACTTACATGTGCCTTTTGTTTTAAACTAAACCTTAAACTTTAAGCTAAACTAAGGCAGCACAAGCATGCACAGTCAACCTGCACATGGATCGTATTCCTTCCTGTCTGATGACCAATAGGAGAAGAGCTAACCAAAGAGCTGCCCACCTTATTTGCATAATGCAGAAATGCATATAGTAAAATAAAAACAGGAGACAGAGAAATGTAAAAACAGCACGTGAAAATAAAAAGTATTGTGGGAAAAATTATAAATAAATATAAAATATATTCATTATTTATATTTCTGCTTTTATTTCTAATCATGTCAGATTCGGTCCTCCATACAAACAAACAATTTTAGTAATATTATTTTTCTTTTTTTTTTACATTAAATATCTGTTTATGATGTCATTATGTTCCTAATTGAACACTGTACATGTTGCTACGTTACCTGCATGAATGGTGGCTGCTAATTTGCTAACAACTTTTCTATAGCTCTGTGTTTGAGCTCTTATCTGACCTGGTCTGTCTCAGGATGGTTTTAGTCACCATAGTTAGCGTAGCAGCGCAAATACTTGGTTGACAAAATAGTGACAAAGTAAATAACTGAGTGCAAGAATAGATTTGAGTTGTTTCAGAGGTCAGAAATTTGCTTTCGAATAGCTCGACTTCACTGTGAACTTTAGCCTGAGATCCCTCTGACTGCTGTCTACTGCAGGTAAGACACTAACTACCCCTGACAGCCTCAATTATATAATAAATTAACCTTAAAGTAGAGCACTGTGCTTGAAACTGACTGGCTAAGTGCTTAGAAGTAAAACAGTTGATAAATCAGCTTGTCTCTTCCTTTTAGGGTGAAAAATAGAACAAATTAAGGAGAAATATGTAAGATTTTCCTTTTTAACTTAAATAAAACTCTATTTCATTAGTTGCAACAAACCCATATACCAAAAACTTCTAAGTTCAGCAGTCACCAAGGAATGTTTTGTCAATTTAACCGTTATAAATTAGGTTTTAAAAAAGTCAAACTAGCTTTTAGACATAAACACATCAGTGCAATTCATACACTATTCAGGATGGCTGTATGGTCTGTGGAACTTCAAACAGATAAAATCCGTTTCAGGTCAACTTTTGTTCTGTTTCTCTCCTACACACAGCTCTGACTGGCCTCTTGTGTCCCTCCACATCAATCTCCTAAAGCCATCCAGAGCTGACCTCTGTCGCCATGCGCCTTATCGCCGTCTTCCTCCTCCTGCTGCTCGTCTGGTCGGCCGAGCCTCGGCGGGGCCTTCAGTCAAAGGTCACGGAGCGGGGTGGCAGTGGTCGCGTACGGGGCCGAGGTCGGGCCGGGGTCAGCAGGCGCCAAACTCAGGAATGTAAGGAGTATGTGGAGGGAGGGGAGAAGTTCCTAGACTGCCAGGACAGGCAGCTGACCTCGGTGGTGCCGGACTGGCCCAAAGACATTCAACACCTCCTGCTGGCGAGGAATAAAATTCAGGTATATTCGTGTTTTCTGCGGTCGGCTAGCTGTGGCAGCCATCTTGAACTGGGTTGATTCACAACAATAACAATCATATGTTGAGGCAAGTTGACAAGGTTTTTGAAAAATAATTGGGCTCAAACAAACAGTTTGCTTTTAAAATCAGTCCAGTAGGTTTTGGACGAAAGTTTGCTACAACTTGAGCCTCATTTGTTCGACACAATATGTCAGCGTTAAGAATCTTACATGGATTATAAACCCAGCCAACTTGTTCAGACCTTGAGCATCTGTTCGCCATTTATCTGGGACTGAGATCAAAACACACTCTTTGTGTGTGTGTGTGTGTGTGTGTGTGTGTGTGTGTGTGTGTGTGTGTGTG